ATATATATATATATATATACAGTATGTGTGTGTGTGTGTGTGTATATATATATATATATATATACTGTCCTTTTTCTGAACTAGATGGCATAGATTAAGTGCTATAATGTTAAGTATTTAATCACTGTACCAAGCTGAACTTCAAAAGATATTCTGAAGGAAGTAGTGATAGTACAATATATGAGCATCTTATCAAGATTATAAAGCAAGCATTTGTGTCTACTTGAGGTTGAAATCACTAAGAATTACCACCCTTGAAAGTACTGAAAAAGATCTTAGATACACAGTGATGCATTACCACAGCTAGCGGCCCTGAGGCATTGATGAGATCTGGTATACCAATGAAATAACTTCAGTTCCAGCAGCATCCACTGAATATCAAGAACACATGTTCCCACTGCATTTCAGAAAGAATCACTACTTTGTTTTGTGCAAGGGGTGAGAGCAATGTGATTCTCTGTGTGCAGTTCAGCCATTGGTGAAGCACATCTCCAAAATACATGAGCACGCACAAGCAGCAGAGCTCATGACTGCATGAGAAGTCAAGAGTTGTGTAAGACCATGAAGCTCAATTTCCTGTCCTCTGGAGTGAGAACGTGTTTACTGTGGATCAGCAACTCAGCTGGACATCCACCGCCCTTCAGTTTGCTTCTATTCTGCTTTAAATGAACCTGAAGCTCTAGTGTGCAATTAAATTTGAAGCCAAATAACTTCTTGAGGGTGTTTTATTTGTTTCAATGTTCTACCTCAATTAAATTTGGTATGACTCAATGTTCACTTTTGAGTTTATATGACAATAATTTTGTGGGTGTTTTTGTTCATATGTCTAGCGAATCCTTTTCAGAGCTCATACAGAGTTCATTGCAAAATGGAAAATTGGTCTTAAAGGTTGAGGAGGAAATTTAATCGTCTGATTCTGAGCCATAAAAACACTAACAGTCGTCTCTATCTTTCTCTCTCTCTCTCCCTTCATCCATCCACTTACTGTAAAACAAGGCCTCTTTTTGTCCTCGACTTCATCAGACTCACATGTTTCAAAGAGGAGGGGAAGAGATAGGTGGGACAGATGAGAGAGAGAGAAAGACAAGTGATAGAAAGACAAAGTCACAGAATCAGAAAGCTCTCCTGTCAGTTCTAACCATATAAAAACATAGAAGTGTGACATTTCATTGGCTTGTAAAACTATCAGTTTGAGCAAAGAAATTCTACTAGAAAAGATCCAAACCACAGAGGATCTGAAACAACAGTTCTGGATTTGGACCTGGAAGACCATCAGATCATGGAGAATGGCAAAATAGAGGGTAAACAATCTTTGATTTTGTCATGCTTTAATAATTTTTCATTTACATGAATAATTGGTCATTAACAGTGAAGTCAACTTTAAATAAAGATTTCTATGGATGGCTTTTGAAAAGTTTTATTTCTTTTACATGAATGTTTCTGTCATTTTCTGTGTGATAAAAGTCTGTTTCTGCATGAAATTGTGTTTTTGTGTGTTCTTGCATTTACAGGTAATGACATAGACGCCATAGACCTTCAGGTAATCTAAATTGCCCTCTCTTATGTACTTCCAGTTTGTGATAGCTTTCTCGTGATTTTGTATGCGTTGGTGTGTTTGTTTGCAACAAAATAGGTATTCTGTTTTAAGCACACTGTTTCATTAATCACTAATTCTAAACACACACTCGTACAGATTACTGCTATTAAGATAATAAAAGTCATTGAGACAATGAATTGCTAATAGGAAGAGTGCGACTGAACTCAGGCCACATTTAGCTTGACCCTCCCTAAATGCTATTAAGACTGATCTGAAGCTCCTGTGCTCCTGTTGAATCTCTCTCTATCTGGGTTTGTTTCTTATTGAGTATTGGTGACCTCTGACTTCAGTTGCAGGCAATGTCGGTGGAGCTAAAATCAGGAGTTGGAAGTGTGGTTGAAGATTTTGCCACCCTACGGCAAACCTACAGCCCACTGGAGGAGAAAGTCTCCACCTATCAATAAGAAACTAATGACAAGATCCTGTCTCTCAGAAACACACTTAACACATTACAGGTTCTAACAGTTATATTATGTGATATTAAATGAGTGGATAAGCAATATCATTTAAATAATATACGCAATTGCTTAAAAGTTTAGGGTCAGTTCGATAAAAAAAAAAGAAAGAAGAAATCAATACTTTTACTCAGGATACATTAAACTGGTCAGAAAAGGCTTTTTAACTTTTTATTCATCAAAGAATCATTAAAAAGAAGATCATGGTTTCCACAGCTGTTTTCAGCATAATAAGAAATGTTTCTTGAGCAGCAAATCAGCATATTAGAATGATTTCTGAAGGATCATGTGACACTGAAGACTGGAGGAATGGCTGCTGAAAATTCAGCTTTGCCATCACGGCAATAAATTACATTTTAAAATATATTAAAATAAAGAACAGTTATTTTAAATTGTAACAATATTTCACAGTATCACTGTTTTTACTGTTAAATAAATGCAGCATTGGTAAGATTTATTTCAAAAACAATAAAAATCAACCTGAAACTATTAAATAGTTACTATAACTATTGGTAGTGTATATTATTTATATATATATATATATATATGTTTTTTTTAATATATAAAAAAACAACAATATAAATAAAATGTAAATATAAATTGAAATATAATATTAGTTATTTTCTAGAATTCAGTTTTTTTAAAATGTATTTCATGCATTTTTCTGCATTATCATTTCGAAATATTGCTTATATTTTGATGACGTGTATTTTCCCTTTTTTTTTTATTGTGTATGCATGTGCAGGAAGACATAAGCACAGCTCTAACGCAGCTCTCTGAGGTTAGGAGTAAACAAAAAGACCTGCAGAGGGACCTGGACCTCATGCAGAGCACTCAACACAGGTGATACACTGTGGCTGCTAAATTGCATAATTTTTTTTTTTATTTTTTATATATGGTACAGTATATTAAACATTAGATGCAATCTAAAATGCTTGGGTTTTAGTCTGCATGTACCTTTTATTGAAAATCAAAATATATAAACGTGGTATTATTGGCAGGAAAGGCTCAAGGGGGGAGGGATCAGTGGATGGCCACGCCTCTCTAAACAGCCAAACAGAACTCAGTCTCATTCAGCATTACACAAGCAGCCTATCAGCTAATCAGAGTGAGTATTACAATTTAGAAATTATGTTCTGTACTATAAACACAAGTGTGGAATTTTTGCGGTTAGACTCTTATCCTGAGCATGACGGTCAAAAGAAGTCTCCAGTGTGGAGGGAGAGAAAAAACAGCCAAGATCTGAAAGAACAAAACAACTCAACTATAAGTGAGTGATATTCAGCAGAATAAAGTGAAAATGCTTTTATTTTTCATTTGTAATATTAATTTTTTCATTTTAAAATCATGCCTTTTTTTCAGCTCAGAGGCAGACTGCAGCACTGGAGCTGTTGGAGTCTGAGAGAGTGTATGTGTCGTATCTCTCACTCCTGTTAAAGGCCAACATCAGTTTTAACTCGGAAAATGTCAGCCTCAAAGACAAACGGTAACTCTGGATGACTTTCACGCTTATACAGGGTCATCACATTGTTAAAAAAATTGGCTCCTACAACAGTGCAGATCATCACACAGGCAACTCATGCAACAACAGACATCAATTCAATTCTCCCTTTCAGACATTCAGTGCTAAACAGAGACTCTAAATTGTAATAGTCTGCAGTGGAACAGACATAATATAAAGCAGATTTTCTTTCTCTTTTCTTTCCTCATCTCTTGTTGATTTTAGTAATTATATTTGATGAAGAAAATGTAATATGAAACAGTGTTTTGAGGTGCATGATGATACTGTTTTTTAATTCTTTTCTTTCTCTCAGACCTTTCCCTCCCTCTCTACACTTCTTGATTCAGCAGCATCTGGAACTCCTTCACCTTCTCCAGGAGAGAGTTCTTAAGAGCCACTGGCAAGGAATCATGGGAGATGTATTTCTAAGGCTCACTAGCAAGGAAGTAAAATATTATAAAAAACGAAAATGAGCTACAATTATTTAATCATTATAAAATGAGCTACTATTTAATCTCAAATGTGTGTTTTGCAGAGTGATTTTCTGGATCATTATGTATCATATCTACGGGACCTGCCAGAATGTTTGACAGTGGTTAGTCTGTTCTCCTCTTCAAAATCAGGCAGCTTACTAGAGGTATACATACACACATTTTATATTTAATAAATACAAGATTGAAAACTTATGTTTTTTTAATATGCTGATATTCGAGGCATACAGATAGTGTTATGCCACAGAAATGATAAAAAGACAGTACATTATGTTTCAATGAATGACATTTCTATTTCATTTTCACCATATTAATAAATAATATTATTTAATATTTGTAATTTTTTTTGTTAATATTATTATCATAATAACCTATAATAATAGAATATTCAAATCATGGTTTTGATAATATTTTTTAATAAACCCAGATCATTTAGTTGTTACATAAAACACAAGTTTAGGTTACCTGGCATAAATTTGAGATGAATCCACATAATGGCTTATTTATTTGTTGTATGTGTTTGAATCCAGAGTGACATCACAGGGGATGAGACACGTCCGTCTCTACACTCTCTGCTTCTACAACCTGTCCAACGTATCCCAGAATACCATACGCTCCTCCAGGTAGTCAAACTAACAGCATTTTAGGCGTGTTTATTAGTTATGCATGTTTGATAAAGTGACACTTGTGATGATATCACCTTGGTCAAGCATTGCTTCATAAAAACAGTCCAATCAAGAAAATGCATGTATGTGTCCATTTGTATACTGTGTTTTACAGAGTCTTGTACAGCAGACAGAGTCAGAGCATCCAGACTATTACCTGTTACTGGTGTCTGTGCAACAACTCCGATCTTTCATGACCCATTACAGCCATCTGCTACAGCACAACCAGGAGCTCCTCACACACAGTCATGCCCTGCGAGAACACACACACAACCTGTGCACACACCAGCAGGAGCGGCCCTCACACACCTGAAAAGAGCTTAGCAGGTAAGTTCAAATCAACAAATACGTGTGTTTTTGTGTTGTAAGTTTTACTGGCTCTTGTTTTTAATGTCAGGTCTACAGTGAGACAGCTGTATAAAGTCGACTATGAGAAAAATTACAGCAACACCAGTGCACAAAAGTGAGTAGATAGATGCACCAATCAAATATATCACAAAATGAGCTCTCTGTGAATTCATTGGTGTTTCTTTAAATTCAAGCACTGTTATGTCTTTTTTTCCCCATGCCTTCATTATGCCCTTCATGATTTTTTTTTAACTCTTGGCCCAGAGATTCATTATTGAAATATAATAATCCATCATAAAAATATATAATAGACTTATATTTAAAACTACCAATTAAACAAAAAGTGAAAAAAACATAAACCATTGTTATATTTATTGCGTGAAAATCAACACACTCACAATTTTCCTACTAAATTGAGTCTCTTTAGTGAAGAGAGTGTTTGAGATTAAATTTGGGACACACACTACCATTCAAATGTTTTTTTTTTTAAGCAACATACTTGTATTCATCAAGGATGCATTAATTCGATCAAGCGTAACAGTAAACACATTTATAATGTTACAAACAATTTCGATTTCAAATAAATGCTGCTATCTTGAACTTTCTATTCATCATAGAATTCTGAACACGTATGACCATTTCCACAAAAATATTAAGCAGTTTTCAATATTAATAATAATAAGAAATCAGCATATTAGAATGATTTCTGAATGATCATGTGACACTAAAGACTGGAGTAATTGCTGCTGAAAATTCAGCTTTGCCATCACAGAAATTACATTTTAAAATATATTAAAATTGAAAAGTTATTCTAAATTGTAATAATATTTCACAATATTACTGTTTTTACTGTATTTTGATCAAATAAATGCAGCCTGGATAAGCATTAGAGACTTTAATGTCCCTTTCAAAAACATTAAAAAGGTGCCTGTAATTAAAGAAACACCTTTATACATTTTCTATTTGTCTTTTTTATAAGTGATCCTTCTCGACGTAACAAACACTACACTGACTATGAAGCGGCACCCTATCACTACGACCCAGAAATCCCGTCCCCTGTCTCCTGCCTGTCCGACTCTGACTCTCGCCACAAAGCCATCTCAGTTGCTCTGCGCAGCATTCCAGAGACAGAGGGAGCGGGATCGGTCCTCTCTGATGCACTGGGTGTGCTCTTTCCCTACAGAGCTGGAGGCTCTCGCTGCTCAAGCCCGTCTCATTCCTCTGACTCCAGCACTGATATCGCCTTTGTGCATTGTAGTCCTTCTCATAGTCCACCTAGACAGTCCCACAGTAGGGGGCGAAGTGCTGGGGGTGTGGTTTATAGGTCCAACAGAGGCTGTGTGTCACCTGACTCAGCAGATATTGTGAGACCACGCCCTCTACAGGCAGTGCAGAGAAAGAGCAAATCACTAAACGGCCTGCAGCTGGACAGTATTGATATCCACGCCCACCAGACAAAAACTCCCGCCCACCCGAGGCTGGAACGCCAGTCAAGTGGCAAATCAAGAAAGAGACCCAGCAGTCCAAAACACAGATATGAGACACACACTGACACAGAGGAGCAGCCACGACTAATACATCAAAAGGTACACGCACATTTACATATAAACACAAACATACACAAACATGTATATAAACAGATTATTAGTGGTTATTAGCACCTTAGCGACTGTATTGCATAGGGTTGCAAAGATTACAAAAATGAATACATTTCAGTAAATTTCCGGAAACATTCCAGAATTTTGAAAACTTTAATCTTAAATTTGGAAACTTTCTGAAATTTTTTAGAAAGTTTTGGAAGGTTTCTGGACATTTACCAGAAATGTTCCACCCCTTTGCAACCATAGTATTGCATAGCCCTGGCAACTACCCACAACACCCTAGCAAACACAAATCAACTGCATGGCAACAACTCACAACAATGTAGCAACTGCATAACTACACACAACACTCCAACAATTGCATAGTATTGTGATAAAAAACCCTCAGAAACAACTTGACACCATCTACTCACAAAACCCTAGCAACTGCATAGCAATGCACTAAAACCCTTCAGAACACCTTAGCAACTGCATAGCAACACCTTGGCAACCACCCACGGCATTCTACTTCTCTAGTAATTTCATAGCCATGTGTTAAAAATCCTTCTGAACACCTTAGCAACTGCGGAGCAATGTACTAAAAACCTTCGGAATTCCTTAGCAACTGCATAGCAACACCTTGGCAACCACCCACAACACTAGCAATTGCATAGCAACACCCTGGCAACCACCTGGAAAACTCTAGCAATTCCATAGCATTGTGTTAAAAACCTCTCAGAACACCTTAGCAAACAGCAGCATGGCAACCATCCACAACATCATAGCAACTGTGTAGCAATGCACTAAAAACACTTTAGAACACCTTAGCAACTACATAGCAAGCACCCTGGCAAGCACATTAGAATTATCCCTAAAAGCTGAAAATTAAAAGCAAATTGATTTAGTATGCATTTATTTAATTGTGAGTGTGTGTGAAAACTCATTCTGCTTGTTCCTCAGGATGCTAGAAGCCTGGTGTGGGAGGAGATCAAATTGAGGGGTGTGTCTGATGACTATGACCACACCCCTTTGAGTGAGCGCAATAGGAAAGAAGGAAAAGGATTTAGGAACTCCTTCAAAAAGCTCTTTAAGAAGAAGTGAGTTAATAAGAGGAGACACACAGCTACTTTGCACATCCTCACATTTAAAGCCATGATACTTTGTGTGTGTGTGTGTGCGTGTGTCAGGTCTAGTGGGGACGGAAAGGAGAAGACAACAGTGAAAGCTGAGTGTCAAAGCAGTGGAGAGCTGGAGACCACCAAAGCCCCTCACACAAGGAGACATTGACAGAGGAACTGCTGTTTAAACTGTTTTACTAAGTGGTTCTCAACTGGTTTTGTGTCAGGGTACAGATTTTACAATGAACTTCAAGTGGTGATCCAACACAATACCACAAATGCTTGGTCTTTAGTGTTCACTCTCTAAATATTTCTGGAATGTTGAGGGTTTCATGCTTTCGGACACAAAACATTTTGCATGAGAAATCAATTATTAATATAATTTTGGCCAGAAGTTTGAGAACATTTGGTTCTTGCATTGTTTATGCAGATATATACTCACACATATAAACAAACAGGCACACTTATCCATCTTTTGTTCAGTTTATGCTGGGCCGCACTGACAGGATGCAAAACTGTATCTGATAAAATGTATAATGTTAATTACTCATAAATAAAAATACTGCTATAAATACATGTTGTATACTTTACAAATAAAAATGTAAATACATTTGAATGCAAATGTAAATGGTAACAATTAAAATAAAGCAATAATAAAGTGTATATATATGACAAAAAAAAAACAACACCATTCAGATGTATTTGATATTTTTTCCACCTTGGTTTAATGTGTTAAATTTCATAAAAGAGTTTCACATTTGAAACAAAATATTGGCTTTATACAGTCTGTAAAACTCAAATTACTTTACACTATATACAAGACATGTGCATCACATCACACAAGAGAACGCTGCTGTAGTGAACATGGAGTAGTTTGACACGCTCTGTACTCAAAGCATTCAATAACACATTTGTGAATCTTTCAAACATACAATGGAGTAAATGGAGATTAGGCTCAGACACGGGTTTCATTTGGGTCTTGACAAAAATCTGCATCATAGATCATGTGACAAGACCAGGGTTTAAAACTGCTGTTAGGGAGATACTCTATTTGCAGTAGAGTTATAATGGCGCATGATCTATGTAAAGTTTTTTAACGCATGTTAGAGGTAGACACGACATGCTAAATTTGTGCATTCAGCTAAACAAAACTTGATTTTGCTTTTTTGACACAAAAAGAACAGTTAGTATTCAGATAAGATGCCATACAAACTGATGAAAATGTGAGAAATCTTCACAGACAGCTACATTCTAGAAAGAGCTCTTTTTCTGACTTCCCGTTTCAATATTTACACATACTGCATTCATAAGACATTATGTTGTCTCTATTCTGTTTTCAGTGAGCCTGTTAAATAGGATTTCTTAGTTTGTTATACTCTTACTATTGACATCACAGCCTGAAGCATGCACTCACCCATTAACACACACACACACACACACACAGCACGCGGAGAAAAGCACACGTGAGCAAACGTATTGTGCAAACCTTCAATAACAGTGATTGGTAATGAACTAAAACATGACACTTGGACTTCCTGCATAAATATATATATGTATATATATATATGGTGTATTGCCATCGGATACCACCACTATACCATGATACAGCCACAGTACTTTTATTAATAATGGAAATGAGGAATTAAGGATATTACTACATTATGAATTAGCATTATTCATGAATGATTATACTTTGATGAAAATACTTTTATTGGGTGTTAATAATTAATTTCATCATTCAATGCTTAATCCACTGGATGTGGTAACAAATAATCCTTCAGGACTTTACCTCAGTTTGAGTAACATGAGTGGTGGAATAATGACATGATAACATGGCGCCCCCTAGTGTATATAACAAAATGACTCTTGTAGCAACTAATGAGCAAAAAATATTTAGCTTCACTGCAGGCTTTTTTTTTTTCTCACAGAAAACATGTTTTGTATTTCTCTGTGCTGCTTTTTCATTGTTTTTGTATATAAATGTGCTAGACTGCCCTGACCTTTGCTCTCGTGTCTTTCGTAGTATCTTGCAAATGACATGCCGTCCTAAAATGTGGTTCTTAAGTTAAAAGAAGTTTAACTTTTAAAAAATGTCTCTAGACCTTGTTTTTTTTTTTTCATTCCACTGCCCCGTGTCTCACGTTTTTAAACACAAAAATGCATTCTGTATGAATGGCCAGGAAATGTGGATCTAATGAGACATAAAACTTACTGAATTGCCTTAAAGTGAAGTTACATTTACAGTTGTTTAGCACATTTTCATAAGCAAAATCCAGTCATTTCAATAGGATTTCTCGTTAGGGTGAAAGATTTCCACAGACAGATTTCGCATTCGGTTAAATTTAGTCACATTAATTTGCCGCGTTGGCTGACAGAAAGCTGCTTGGTTTGAAAGTGACTTCTGTGTGAGTGGTACATCATGCAATGCTACAGTTGACAATGAACTTTTTCCCGCAAAATGTTGCCAAAATTTCACTGCTGTGACTACATCTTTAGGATAAGAGACGAGAAAGAGATGCAGAAGAAAATGCAGCTGAGCTGATTAGACTTACGCATTCTGTGTGAACCGTATTGGTATGTAAAAGAAAGGAGTTGTTTACAGGGCTGCGTCACTGCAATACTGAAAGCTACAAAGCTAACAAGATGGTAAAACTCCTGCAAATCATGCCAGATATAAAAGTCATGTTATTTGTGTCCTCTTTTAGACAGCTGTTGTTTTCACATTAGTTATCTCAGTCACACAGAACTGATGGTTGTGTATCAAGGTGTCTCTGAAGAGTTTAGTTTGTTACAGTTTTTGTGTATTGAAATGCATCTATAGTAAGTTCACGCAGTTTACCAGTACATAAAAACTTTAAACTGGTACAATACCAAAAGATATCATGTATTAACTGGAAATTAATTAAAATGATTGATTTGCTGTTACATGCTATGCCAATCTATCACGCATATTAAACGGTCTACCTACATCTGCTTGTACTGAGGTATCGATTTTGTATCGATACGAGGTACCAGGGGCTGGTATCATACCAAAGCAAAACTTCTGGTCTTAAAACGTATCTGTAGTGTTTCATTTCAACGGTCTTTGAGTATGTGTTTTTTTTCCTGTAGTGTTTTGTTCAGTAGCTTTATAAATGAAAATGAGGTGTATAAGTCTCTGAAACATGTACTTTGTAGCGTGCATTATGTAGTGTGTGTTAAGGCAGTGTGTTTTCAATAGCTGTTCTCGTGGCCCGCGAGGATGTACAGATTACTTCGAGCTGTGGGGTCTTCTGTCGGTTTGCTTTCCAACACCACCACTCTGAGAAAGAGAGAAAAATGCTTGTAAGAACAGTGCTGACCATGGCACAGTTGTGGTACAGTGTGTGTTCTGGTGAGCTCTCACCTGTCCGCACCCAGCAGCCTGTAGATTCGCGAGTTATCAGAGATCTCCTGAGTAATCTAAAGCAGAGAACATCAGTTACCTCAATCACTCGTCTAATCACAATGGACAAAAGACCTTGTTTTGCCCACAAAATTTGGCTAATATGACTGCAACTTAAAGCTAAGAGCACTTGTTACAGACTATGATTGTATAATCTAGATCAGTGGTACATCACAATGTCAGGAGCATTAAACCATCAAAATTCACTTTTGCATAATAAGCTATTTTGATCACCACTTTATGTTTGCCATAAAATCTGGTTCCTAAAGCAAAACTAGTTGAAAACCACCAATTTACAAAACCAAAAGGCACACCACACACCTCACTGTTTTTAAAACTTCTTCCCTGCATTCCATGCTTCCAGAACGCTAAAACACTGTCCTGCAGACACACTTGAAAAAAGACAAATACATTATTATTAATCAAAGCACACAATGAATTACCCACCTCTTCTATTACTTTAGTTCTTACCTATTGCCTCAATCTGGAAGTTAAAGGTGAGTTCAGTTGACAGCTTTCTGTTGGATTTTAACCTGCCCTGCAAATTCACCAATTTTATACACCCTGCAAAAAATACAGAAATAAATGATGAGTAATGGCTTCCAAGAGCTGGAACTTCTGGATAAAGAAAATGCAAGAGCATGCGCAAATGCTTGTTTGAATATGAATGTGTGCTGCAGGTACTGACAAATACCAACTGAAAAAGATCCTGTGTGAATTCAGAAACCATTATAGTTTTATGAGGAGACAGGTTAATGTACATGTGGTTTTATCATATTGTGGCTAAAAAGAGCTATAACTGTGGCAAAAATCACGGTAATGCACAGCTTTGGGTGTTTTATTGGTTTTATAAAATGGCGAAAAGAACATTAAGTACAATTCATTTGTATTATATATTATTTATTCCTTATTCTTATTAACAATAACAATAATGATAATAAAAAATGTAATATATATAATTTATATTTGTAATATGTATATATTTATGTACATTAACTATATTTGAAAGAATTGATTATACTATTATAATTATTATAACCAATTCTTCCAAATAATATAGTTAGTGTATATAAATATATACATAAAACAAAAGTGAATATTATTAATATTTAAACTGTTCTAATATTTAATATCAGCAGAGTATTATATTAAATATCAACATAACATAAATAATATTCTATGATTTATTATAATAAAAATAAATGACTTACGATCTAGACACACTAGGACAGTATCTCTCTCCAGCTGAGTCACATGAATGACACATGTTTGAGGTGTTTCTGGAAACACACAACACAACAAGGGTTCATTCAAATCCCAAAAGCAACACTCTCAAACATCTGTTTTAGCAATCCAAACCAAGTAAACTTGTAAGTAAAAGTTCCGTTTTGAACTGAGACACAGTGAAACTCTGATACTGACCGGGCTCTGTGAACACCGGGTTGGCAGCATTGGGATCAACAGTACCAAACGTGACCACCTGATCAGGATGGCTTCCTTTACTGACCGCCACACAAACCAGTGGATAATGCTGCTCAGGAACCACCAACATCTCAAAGATTTCTAATGGACACGGCAGGGTGAGGTCTATGCTCTGGACAGACAAAAATACACAGGATTATTCTCTTGTGCATGGATGGGCTTTGTGTTTCTCAATGTGATTTCTCTTTCACCCTTACCTTTATCAGCATGAAGCGCTGCATGGCTTCCACCCATTCAAACAGCACTACGCTGGACTGGAAAGCTCCACATAAGTACTTATGACCGGTGTATGGGTTTCGCACTATAAATACAAATACAGAAGTAGGTTTCATTTTTGATTGCATATATGCAAAAGATTTTAAACATGCAGTGCTCTGATCATACAATTTGGTATGCATTTCAACACAAAACATAAGAATATCAAGTGCATGTGAGTGCGTTCATACTGACCCACACAACATTTCTGACAACCCCTCGTATCTGGTATTTTATTGGACACAGTAAACTTCCTGAAAGAAAGGCATTAACATGACAGCACTAAAATGCAAATGATGTGATTTAATAGGAATGTCAGAAAACAAATATTTAAAATGAAATCACAAATGATAACGGACTAAATAGCAACACAAAAAACGTATGTAAAAATATTAGCCTGGATCATACCGTGGGATGATTTTG